AAAAAAAAAAAAAAGAAAAAGAAAGAAAGAAACACTCCTGGCTTCTTTGGTAATCACGGTCTTGAGATCAAATTGGATGTATGATGAAAAATTAGTGGTTTGACTCGCTCAAACCTCTCTAAGACCATGTTTATTTAGTCACTTTATCCATCCCAAAAGCATTGTTTGTTAGTCTAGATAATGACGCGCAAGATACAACACGGCCCGAACACCAAAACCTGTACAGAAGTTTTAGATGAAACTTCACTATGATGCATCAAGGCTCACCCTGATATGGTGCGCTACGTGCATGGGACTGCACCCGTTTACCCCCGATTCTTACACAGTGCTAACAGATTCAGACATCTCGTCCCCAAAGATACAACGACATCCACGAGAAGAAATAAGTTGGAAAGTTGCAATCTTGATGAAAAATTATGACAATAAAAATTGGGACTTGGAGCCCTTAGAGAGAGAAAGAAAACTAGAGAGAGAGGAGAGAAAAACTAAGAAGAAAAATCTTGCAAATGAGGAATTGATGCCCAAAATACAAAGTACTAAGCCTATTTATAGTTATATCACACTGACTAATTATACAGACATTGATCATACAAAACAAAACATATCCAAAGCTTTTCCACATATGATCGGCTCGTTACAAGCCAACTTTTATAATTCCACCCATGCAACATATGTGCACTCCCGGTCCTCCAATACAAATATTTTCAACAAGACTAAGGAATATAAACCAACTCAAATATAAACAATAAAATCAATGGCATAAGATCAAGTTTTCCCCTCTTTATTTATTTTTCTTCTCTCTTTTTTTTCTTTTTTTTACATTGAGTCAATCTTTCAAAATGAGAGTTGTTAGGATGATTATTACATAGGTTTAACCTCCGGTTTATCCCAGAGTCTCCTAGGCCAGTTTCCATATTCATTGACTCGATACATCTAGGAGGAGACTAACCAGATCAACCGGCGTCTAATCCTTTCAACTCTCACGAACTCATTTTATTTAACCAATTGTTTTTTTTCGTGAGCTTCTTTTTCCAAACGAGATTTCTGGACGATTATTATCTAAATGTAGCCTCGGTTTCCTCGAGTCTCCTTGACCGATTTCCGGAGCTCATTATCCTATTTGACGAAGTAGATCGGAATAAGAGGAGCCTAGAGAGGACAAAAAAAATCCACACAACAACGTGAATACAATCAATATACGAACAAAATAATACATCAAGATGTGTAATAACGAGAATAGACTACGAACACGAGCTTTTACAAATAAATCCTCAAAGAAGGCAAATTCAATGTATTGACCAATCGGGAATTACAAAGAACAAAACAAGGCCAGGATTCTAATCTATGTGTCCCACATCAACAAATCTTTAATCGACTTGGAATCACCGAGGTTCAACTCATTGAAAAGCATAAAGTAAGACAATTCAAAATGAAATAAACACGTTTATCCAAATAAAATGTTAGCAATATTGACCAAACATTAGACTTCATGCAGAAGAATCGACTCAAACGCACAAAACCGGTCCATTTAACACACACAATGGCCAAGAACAAAACAAACTAGAGAACAAACATCAACCAATCCACAATTAACTTATTTCCTCCCACACAAACACACCTCTCATAAACTACTCCCACTTAGCCCTCACATGGTGAAAGTGCCTAAACTCACAACACATCACCGAACTCCCATCCATCCTCCTCAAATGAAACCTCTCAACCAACACATACAATCCAAACTCACCCCACCCCTCACACTCCTCCTCCTTACTAACCCTCACCCGCTGCCCATCCCCGCCAGCCCACCCGCCTCTCGACTCCTCCCACCTCATTCGCTCGACTATTTCCACTCTCAACCCTACGCTCGTTTTTTTCTCTCCTTCACTACCATAGCCCACATACCAAACCACCCCATCACCCGAACTCTTCTCGTCCCACTCGCCTCTAACCCCACCGACAAATGCTTGTTCGTCCTCAAACACTTCGTCAATCACCACTCGGTTATCGTTACCCTTGTTACGGCAAGCAAAGATCTTTTCCCATCTTTGCTCGAGCGTCCACTCATAGTACACCGAACGCTTTACTTGTTCATGTAGAGTCCCTTCCTTTACGAATATGAAGGGGCTATACCATTTCCCGACGACTAAAGGCTTGGAAAACTCTCGGGAAATGGGGAAATCGAAATCCGGGAGGCGGGCCCGGAGTACAGGGTCGAGGCCGTTTGCGGTGTCGAGCTTGAAATTGTGAGGGGTCTTTGTGTGGATGGTCCAACCTTCCCGGCGGAGGAATGACGGTGGGAAGCTGTCAAGAGGTTTGGAGGTGGCGATAAAGCCACCGTTGTACGGAGATATCTGAAATTGTTGATAAATGTTTTTCGGATCTAATGGCATCGGTTCTATGTCGTTCACCAAACGGCAGAAACAGCAGGTGATCTTATCATCTTCCCTTGAGCAGGTATATGCTTCTCTGAAAATCGGGTTGAAGAAATTGAGTGTCAGAAAATATGTAGTTTCGGATATTGAAGAAATTCTCTCCAATTTTTTTCCCACCAAATTAGCTAAACTACGTTCTACCTTTCATTACCTCTGAACAATACAATAAATTACTTCATGTAATTAAAAACACGAGCTTTCCCAAACACACCAAATTTGAAGCAGCATAATTAAATATTTGCTGCTAATTTCTTTCATATGAGCAAACTAGTGTTCTTTTTGGGCAAATTTAGACTAGTATACAGGTCCTAAATTCATTAGACTAATGTTGATCATACCTAACAAAATCATACATTTTCAACAAATATGCACACTTTCAATCTCGAATATCATACTCTAACAATTAAGCAACATAAACAAAAGTATGGCATTTTATACAATAAATATGCATTTTTTGTTAAAAAAACATGAGATCGACCCGTCTAACGATAAGGCAATCAGTCTCATACAAATTACACCCCTCGAGAAACCAAGAAAATGTATCGAAAGTCCCCCTTATGTTTGTCGAAATATCGCGGCTGCCCCCAAGTCGAAACAAATGACAGACAAACCAAAGCTCGGGGGGCTTCTCCATAATTTTTCGAAACTTCTCAAGTGTGGTTTAGTAGTAGTCCTCAAACTACATCATCAATCAAACTGAACTTAAAAACAAAGGCAACAACAAAACAGAACACACAAACACAAAACACATTTATAATTTTATTACGTACCCTTTTCGCGGTCCATGTGGGACGATCGCGTAATACCGATTGGAGTCGAGCGGCTGATTGATAACCGGGATCAACAAAACGGAATCATTGAAGCGGTGCTATTCAAGCCGTTATTCTTCGTGTAACGAACACTGAGCTCTTTGTCCTGAGGAAAAGGCAGAAGTTTGAGCTTCCGATTTCGCCACAACCCGAAAAACGAGTAGGTTTCGGATTCCTGGTCTTGTATCACTAAGCAGCCCGAATTCGGGCCGTCGGGCTGCCCCATTTTCGGAGATTTCAGCACTTTGGAAAGAGGCCTCGTCACATACATCTCTAAAAAAGTCTTGGGGATGTTGAAAGATGTTGAAACAGAGTTATGTATAGTTCAACCTTCATATATGAGTATTCCATGGG